AGCATTCAATTGCTCGTGCCAGTGTAGAGATTTATCACATCAGCTGAGCGGCCTGATGTTTTTACAGTTCTTGTAACAAAGCCGAGGAACTGTGTGTGTATTTGGAATCAGAGCTATATAAAGTACTCAAAGCAGCAAGCAATAAGCATGAAAAAAGGGGCTACTTGTCTTTACGATAGCCTATGAGCCTAGCTTAAGTCAAAGAGCCTTGCTTCATGTGATTTAAAACCCTGATATTGCAAGTACATTTCTGTAGATTAGTTTGACCCAGTGGATCATCCACGGTCATCTGTTTTGCTGCAGCAATCTGTAAATTTATCAGGGAACAGCTAGGTCACCTTTTCCACTTGTGCAACGTTTTGAATTCTTTGGTAAACTGGAATCAGAGTGGTTTTTCTCTTTCACAAGACGAAAAGAAAGAAAGGACAGAAACTGGGGAAAAGTTTTCGTTGCTGGCGGGTTTTTTCCCCTTTCATTGGCAGAGGTAAGTGAGAATGTGCTAAAGAGTCGCAGCTGCTGTGCCGTCGGTGCTGTACCATCCCAGGACACCCTAATGCAGTCTCTTTGCATGAACTCTTGTGTTGTGCTGGGTGCCCTGTGAGCTGGCCTAAGATTAGGAGAACATTTCAAGTTGAAACTCTTTGACAGGCTTTTAAAGAAGAGTTTTCATTTCTGTGGACAGTATGGCAATTCTGTCAAATAAGTCTGTTGCTGAAAAATAATGGTAATATATTAACTATAAGGTAATGCCTTTTTTTTTTAATGACAGTTCGGTTTCTTGGAGGAGTTACAGTTCAGGTTCTTTCTTCTCCCATTCTCCTTCTAAGAATTTGGCTTTCTACTTAGGTACCCTGGATCATGGCACAGCACAGCCGTTACACCCTCAGCATTGAGAAGGGTGACGGCTGTGCCATGGGAAAGGGAGAGCTGGGGGAAGTGGAGCCAAGACCGTAGTGGAAACGGGAATATAAAATACAGGAACTTCACAACTCCTTTTGGTCAGCGGAGTGCCACTCTGTCATCCGAAATGTCTGTATATTCCTCAAAAGCCACACTTACTTGTGGAAGGATGTGTGTATTTGTGTGTCTGGGAGAGGAGGTTTATTGCCGTAATTGAGTTCATCTGGCAAAGGTTACTCCACTTAGCTGAGCTCCGGTGTCAGGAGGGCTGGTCTTTGTTCCTGACGCGGATGTGCTGTCTTTGGAGGAGTAGGACCAGAGGAACTCCCCAAGATCAGAAGGCTTCTTCGGTCCTGTATTGATGGTTCTGGCCCTCTGCCATGCTAAAAAGCCTTTTTGTCGTGATGAAACGGTGGAGTGAATTTTATTGTTGCCTAAAGACCAAAATATTTGAGTAAGGACCAGGTTGTAATGAATCACTGGAGACAATAGGAGGGCTTTTTCTGCTTTTAAAAAGAGTTTAAGTAGGAAGTGCACTTTGCGCTCATGCTAAATAAAACTTCTTTAAAGGATGTGTGAAGTTGTGCAAAACCAGGTGGTATCCAAATGGGACCAAGAAATGGCAAATGGCACACCATTTTGAGCACATCCCTTTAAAAGCCGTATTCCCCGAGGTCTGCTCCGGAGGCCGCTGATATGGGAAGCCCGACTGTTACTTTTGCCGGTGCCAGGAATGAAACTTGAGCATATACTTTATGCGCTTGCATCAAATGTGCTGAACCCAGTCCTGGCAGACTTGCGAACTTTTATATGCAACTGGAGAACAGATTGAAGTTGCCACTAAAACTCTTGAGTACAAAAGGTTGTTACTCATCAGTCCAGTCCGCGTTATTGTGGAGCTTTGTGCTGAGAGGATGGAGATAAGAAAGGGCTGGAATAGCCAACTGCTAAAATCTGAATGTGTTTGCTGGTGTCACAAGACAGGGCATCTGGTTTTAAGCATTGTTCTCTCTCTTCCCGCCATTTCCTCCCCCAGCATACTAATATATCTTTCTGTTGTTCCCCCGCATCAGAAATCTTGGTGAACTGATTGACAGGTTTGTGGCTGACTTCAAGGCTCAAGGTCCCCCCAAGCCCAACGTGGACGAAGGAGGAGCTGTCCTGCCCAGCTGTGCCGACCTCTTTGTGTACTACAAGAAGTGCATGGTGCAGTGCTCCCAGCTCAGCACAGGCGAGCCGATGATAGCCCTGACCACCATATTCCAGAAGTACCTTCGGGAATACGCCTGGAAAATTCTGTCTGGAAACCTGCCCAAGTGAGTTTCACTTCCTAAATGCTGCAGCACCGTCTGGTGAGACATTCCAGTGAGGAGCAGATGCTTTGTGAAGATAATTAAGAAATACATACCTGTGAACAGTTATGTTTCACTGTCAAAGAAACCACGTAGCAGCAATATGACTACATTTACTTCACGATTTTCTCAAAAGTTCAGTTCGTTGCACTGAGAAACGGCAAGAAAACTAAACGGACAGTCATGGCATTGTTTTTCTTTTAAGGGCCCCTGGAGGATAGCTTCATATTTGGCTTTGATTAGCAGTCAGATTTACAGTTTCTTGAAGTTCTTTTTGAAATGCCAGCCCAAGTCTCTTCAGAGAGGTCTGGCTTTCAGAATTGCACTTACCCTGCCACTTGGGTAACAAAGTCATACTGTGATTCTTAGCTGCCTTAGCTCAACGTTATACATATAACAATTTGTAATGAAGGTGGTTTATTTGTGTGATGCTAAAGTGCTTACCTGTAACTCCCTCTGCTCTGTAACACTTTGTATGTGTAAATCCAGTGAAAATAAAGGAAATCATTATGGGTTTACACCAACCAATATGGGTAAGTGTACAGGCTAAAGGAGCTCCTTGAGATATTGCCAACCTTAACTACAGATAAGTATGCTATTTTGTATGCTATTTACCATCTTCAGTTTGTTTCCCTTGTAAACCTGTGAGCAGCAGAATGAATTTCTGAAACCAGTAAAATCTTTTACAGATGGGAGGGGAGAGGGTTACATCCAGACAAGTGGAAAGATAAATTTAATGTGCATTCTCCATCAGACCTCAGTTGCATTCTTTATACACATTTTTTTGGTGCTCCATTTTCGCTGTCCAAGATAAATATCACTGTCCTATTTTTTTAATGGATTTGGATTATAAAGAGTTGAGAGGTAGGGAATTTCCTGACTGAACTGTTCTGAGCCTTTCTTTGTTGATACACAGCTGTTAATCACTGGAAGATGGTGGAAAGAAGCCGCATCTTCTATAATTTACTGTGTTGCTATCATCAGCTTTTAAAACAGGTTACCAAAGTTTCAAATGCATGTCGACATCTGTTTAGTACTGAGAAGATAAATATGACAAGCTGCCTGATAGTTACTGAGACTTTTCTGTAATCTTTAATTAGATTTTGAGTAACTGGCAGTGAAGGTGAAGCTAGCTGGGGAAAGCTGTATTCCACTTGCATCCTGATCTACCATGTTGTGAATGAGTGAATTGTCCTTTGCCTGAAGACTTGATATCAAGTTCTGTTTGTCTTTCTGAAAGCTATTCCTTAACCAAAATAGCAGTTGTGGGTTTGACGTAGAATGACGCTGACCTGTGGTCCACAGGACATAGGACTTTGTGGTCATAAAGGGTTTTTCATGGCGTTGAAATCTAGTAGTAATTTTGCATTGTGTGTGTCTGTACACCTGAAAGCCTTACAGGTTTTGTCTTTTTTTTTTTCCAGGACAACTAGCAGCAGTGGTGGGCTCACCATCACTAGTTTGCTGAAAGAAAAGGAAGGCTCTGAAGTGGCTAAGTTTACTTTAGAAGAACTCTGCCTCATTTGCAGCATCCTTAGTACTGCAGAGTACTGCTTGGCAACCACACAGCAGGTGAGCTTTCCTCCACAGCACTTTTGAGAAGGCACCCAGCAGGAGCCCCTCTTCTGTCACGAGATGCTGTGCTGCTCCCCCTTCAAGGGTAGGCTGCTGTGGAGGGTGGGAGAGTCAGAAGTACTAAAATATCCGTAGTAGTGTCTGCTCCACATAGCATCCCGTTGATTATTCAGCTCTACATTATTAGATCTGTATTTCAAAGAAAAGTATTGATTTTGCCGTTTTGACCTGCGGAGAGTAATTTGCTTGTAATCCTGCTTTGCAGCATCAGTTTTGGATGCTATCCTTTTATATTTGTTACATAATTTGTTTTGAATTGGGAACCAAATTTTTTATAAAAGAGACTCTTCTCATGGTTCATGATCTCCCTTTTATAAAAACAAGAAAAACAGTAATTCAGAATAGGTTTGGGAAAATGCTTGCATGAAATATCGGGGCAAGGTGGAGTGGGGAGAGAAGGTATTTATGCTGATATGCTTTGCAGCCACAGTGCTCCTTACATTCAGGTGCTTTCAAAATGCCATAGGTTAGTAGATGAGCTGTGATGTTTGGCCGTATCAGGGTCTCTCCACCAGTAGAACTGGCAATCTTCCTCCTCTGCAGTTTGGGCACAGACAGGGTGTTGGAAAACTTCTTTATTAGCAGGACAGGTGCCACGGTGTTAAGCTAGTACATTAGCATGTCATGCTAGAGTTACATATATGACCTTGGAGGTTACTACTTTGAGGATGCAGTGCCACCATAGGCCATCCTGGCAGATCAAGATGTCTAGGGTGTCCAACAAGGAGAGATTTCCATTGTTCACTGGCTGAGTTTTGGATATAGTCTGGGCACAGGTTAGCTTTCAAGAAGCTGACTTTTCCAGGACATAGGTTTTCAAGACTGGTCATTTCAAGTAAGAAATCTGATCTTTCTGTTGCTTGTTTTGTTTCCTAACAGTTGGAAGAGAAACTCAAAGAAAAAGTGGATGCAAGTCTAGTGGAGAGAATCAACCTGACGGGAGAGATGGACACTTTCAGCATGTATGTTCGGCAGATGCATCCTTCCAGAGTATATCAAACATCCTAGTTTGTCAGCCAGATGGTGCTGGAGTAATACAAGCCCAAGATCCCAGTGTCGTAGGACCCAGCCAGCAGTAGGACCCACCCAGATATGCAGCCTAGGCATTTCCCTGGTGAAGGAATGGTCATCCTTTGGCTAGTCCAAGAGCAGCAGTAGTACAGACTTCAGATGTAGTTGTTCCCCATCGTCCTAGCCAAAGGAACAAGAGCACTGGAAAGGGGAAAGGAAATAGTGAGTTTCCATTTGAAACATCATTTGCATCTTGGCAGCTCTGTGAGGTGGCTGTTACATTTCAAGAAAGGAAGCTATTTCAGTACATTCCTTCCTGCTTTAACTTCCCCCTGTTAATCAGCAGCCTTGTCAGTATGATCAAACCCCATTTCAGATGACATAAAAGACCGATCCAATCTTATATTTGGGGATTATAATTGAGAGAAGATTATCATTCATTAAAATAACTTTTCACGTAATGATGCTAAAAATACTCCCCTCTAACATCCTCTCCTCTCCTCCACTGACAAACAGATTGAATATTTTTTGAGAGAAGGAAGTCAAGGCAAAAAAATCATTGTTTTGCCTCACATCAGACAAAAGAAAACCTTGGCAAAGCTGGGCAAATAATCCCTATCACCAGCTCTCCTTCTCCCTAAAACTAAGATTCAGCCCAGACAGCAGTAAGATTTTTTCAGAGGACTTCCTTCCTGTGATTCCTCCTCTCTTTCTCCAGTGGGCAGGATCCCACTGAATCTCCACCCAGGTTTTTCACATGGTCTCGGGCTCCGTTCCAGGCTGCAGAGACTCCCTTCCCTTTAGATATTTTTTCAGACCTTTTTAAGAGTGAATCTCTGACGGAAAGCTAGGATTGCTGTGTCCACTAAGCCAAAGCAAGCAAGGTAGCTGGGGAGTAGAAATAAAATATGCCATATGATGGGATTTTCTTAACATTGACAAGTCGAGGGTGAATTTTGCGTTTTCTTGTGACCTGTCTGGCAGGAGCCAGCTACCTTGAGTCGCTGCTTAGTTTCCACGGTGGCTGCCGCACGAGGTGGTTGGTCGTAGGCGGCCAATATGATGTGTTTTGGAAATTGTTTGAATGTATAGTTCACATTTGCTGTTTTGGACAGCTTTAAAGTCAAACTGACAGGCCTGATGTGTCTTGTAATGAAGGCTTTTTAATTGACTGTCAGTCTGTTCCAGTATAGCGCTTTGTCCAGTCTTCTGTCAGTGTAAGTCATAGCTATAAACCACTCTCTGGCATTTGCTCATTCAACAACAAACAAGTTGTTTCTTCTGGGATTTGATGTCTTGTTAGGCATGGTCATAAAGAAAGTGATAAAACGTTGCTGCTTACACACCCTGGAAAGTGTTTCTTCCTTCGCAGTAAGGAGCGTGCAGAACCACCCCAAATGTGTATAAAGCGATCGACTCGAGGGGTTTTACCCCTGGGGTGGCTAAGCATTTTCTTTAGGAAATATGGGAAAGATAATGAGCTCTTCTTGAAGCTCAACGGAATGAAAACTATTGTCATGTAAATCCAGAAATCCATGATTCCCACCCCCCTGCCCTATTGATCTGTTGTGAGATGATGGGCAGCGTTCAGAGACCTCTTGAAGGCCTGAAGTGTTGAGTTTACCAGGCTCTCTGTTAGAACCATACTGCTCATTTATGGCCTCGGCTTCCCTGTCTGTCAGCTTCTGTGTATCTGTCAGGGATTGTATGGGGGTTCGTTAACGGCCACTGAAGTACTGTTGTGTGCTGCCTGGGACAAAACCGTCTCGGTGTGTCATGATGCTTTGCGTTGGCAACACGCTTCTTGCTGCACGTTACCCTTCTACAGCAGGTGCGTTTATTTTGAAGTGTAGATAAATAGGTTTCTCTCCCTATTTGCCATCTTGTGGTTTTCAGGCGGGAGCCTGTACTTGGTGACCCAGCTTCAGACAGACTCCTGACGTGTGGAGACTAGTGATGAAGTCACTTTCCTTCCACTGAGAGAGTTGTGTTTCATTTTGGTGCTAAACCACAACTCTTTCCTACAAGTCACTGCCAGCAGGTGCCCTGCAGGAGTCAGCTGTGCCCAAGAGACAGTTATTTCAGTCCGGCTGGCACCGCTTGAGCTGGTGGAATCCCCCAGGGGAGTAAATCCTGTAGTGCCCAGCAGAAGCAGAGGTACCAGCAGAAACGGTCACAGACTTTTTTTATCCCGGTGCAAGTTTCAGATCATGTAACTTGAAGCCAATGGTCACTTCATTTCCCATATTAATTTTTCCAACTGATTTTGGATGAGTTTGCCTTTACAAACAAATTAATTGCTCTGAAGGAACCGTCTTTTACTTGGCATCCTGTTCTGGTCTTTATGTGCTAGAGCTCTAGGAAAGGGAAGGGAATAGACAACCCCACATCCCAGTGGCAGTTATGAGTGGGTGATACCGTATCTTGATGAGGACACTTAAAAATATTTTGAACAGTGCACTCCAGAGTAGTACCCAGAACTGCACAAAGGTGACGAGGGGAGGGAAGATGGTTTGAGGAAGCACTGGTCAGATTTCTTATAGATCTGTGATTCCCATCTGTGCTAGCATCATGAGAAAGAGCAAAAGTAAAATCCAGTTCTTACGTATATAATCCCAAAGTTGTAAACAGGCATCTGTGACAGATTTAAAGTTTACACTGTTTTTAAAAACTGTACTTACTTAGTGAAATACAGTCGCTTATTACTTCTAGCAGAAGTTGTCTGTAATGCGAGTACTGGGTTACGTGCCCTTGAGGGTGGTCCGAGTTGCTGCAGACAGTGTTTCTCAGCTGTTGTTTTAGGATCGGTTGCACCTTTATACACATCGTAATATGGTGGCATCAAATATGTCTCTAAGCAATATCATGCTGTTTTTAAAAAAAAAAGGGGGGAGGGAAATGTGTTTGACTAATGCGTCCTTTAGTCTAGTATATGTCTCTGAGAAACTCAAACAATGGATGGCGGCAATCCTAGACATAGTGTAAATAAGACATCTGCCTTCATCTTCTCAAATGGGAGACACATTCAGAACTCACACAGATGTACTTTTTAAAATCCTCTTTGCAAGTTTCTGTGAGTAGTAGAATATTGACTGTGAATAAGTGGAGAGATGATAAAAATGTTATTTTTATGCAGACTGGATTAAATTTGAAGCCGAATCCTAGTCTGGGCTCAGTACTCAGGGGTTTCTCCTCTTCCTGATGTGAAGGTGGGGGTTACCCCCTCTGACACCTTTGATCTCCAGCCCCTTTTATGTGTCAACACAGAGAAAGTCAACTATAAAAATGTCCTCTCTACACTAAAGCCCATTGTGTAGCTCCCCGATGAACAGCATGCAGAACTTCCCGGCTTCTTTTCAGTACAAGTTTCAGCCGTGTATACTCACAGCATAACGCTACTGTCAGCTAGTAGATGATTCTCCTCCTTTCACAGTCAAATAAGCCAGTTCTGGGACTGTGTTGCTGAGCACTATTCTAAAACTCGTGCTTGATTTTTTTTGCAGTGTGATCTCCAACAGCATACAGCTGTTAGTGCAGGACCTGGATACAGCCTGTGACCCTGCCCTGACTGCTATGAGCAAGGTAGGGGATGGATTTGTTTCGGGAAGAGGTAGCCTTAAGATCCATGTGGAGTTCTTGTTTGCTTCGATTGTTTGATTTCACTACTGACAGATCCTTTTACGCTGCCCTGAGACTTAGCCATGTATTCGTTTCTTCTTGCTTCTTAGAGCAGCAATTGCTGTATATATCCTTCACTCCAAAAATATATCCTTCACTCCAACTTTTGTTATCGTTCAGATCAGAGCTTTCATTCTTTTGCAGCACATTCAAACACATGGATAATAAAATACTTTCTGTAAGTATCTAAGGCATTCTCTTTCCACTCCTAATGCCAGTGAGAGTCTTTAAAATTGGGGAAAACTTTTGTTAGCATGAAATTTCAAATACACCTTCTCGTTTGCTATTCTCTTTGTGTTCTTTGACAAGGAGTTTTACTAGCCTGCTTGTTTGTGGCTGTTAAATGGAGGTACTGAAAGGGTAATATGGAATTGAGATTGAGCCCTATTGCTTCTGTGATCCTCTCAAGGACATATGGAGCCATTCCTAGAGAGGCCCATGTGATTAGTGCTTAAGGATTTTGTTGCAGTTACACTGCTGGCTTTTATACGTTTGAAATGCAGAGCTGTGTTTTCTTGCCAAAGTATTGTGAAAACCCAGACTGCTTGAGACAGAGGTGAAGACAACAAAAGTGGATTGAACTATTTTTTTAATTAGAAATATTAAACATAGAGCTCCATTTTTGTAGGATCAACACACTGTCTTGCTGCCATGAATTTTAATAGCTTTCTGCTTTATGATGTATTCCAGCTGTAACTATCCCCGCCACCCCCAGCTAATATTTGAAGTGGAATGCAGCTGGTAATAGAGCTTGTACGTGTTCCAAATGAAAACAGGATTTTTTTGCCCAGTCAAATAACACCATTAGGAAGGGCTCAGCACTTCAGGTGTTGCATGTGTGCCATGACAGTTCCTTAGATCTCCTCCTGAACCTACGTAGCGTAGTAGTATTTGACTCACTTAGCTCTGACTGTTTGTACCCAAGTAAACCACAACCTTGAGAAAGCAGCAGCTGGTAGGCCATTTATTTTTGTCTTTGGAACACTGGTAAAGCGCAGCACGTGATGGGACTGATGATATATAAACAAGCTAAGTGTTATGAAATTAGCTAAATAAATACTTGTCACTTGTGCACACATTCCACTATTTGCATCAGACAGAGTTGTTTTTATGTGATTTTTACTAGACCTGAGTTTGGTGCAAGAGGTTTTTTTCCTTCACCCTCTTCCTCCCTTTCCTTCAGGGCTGGGTTATTACTCTGACAGTTGAATAAGAAATGCATATAATTATTTAAATGCAGCATTAGCATTTGGACGTGTAAAATTTCAGTCTTTATTAAAGGAGTAAAGACTGTGTGCCTGATCCATTCCAATTTTCCTGGACTGGGAAGGCATGTCTACCTCAAGACCCCTACTCCATTAGGGCTCCTCCTTTGTTTAGCTTCTTTTCATTTACTTCACTCTGGTGTCCTCCAAGATTCAACATTCCCAGTCCTTTGTTGGAGTCTGACTTTCTTTTTTTTTTTCTTGCAAAAATGTTCAGTAACTATAGAGGTAAATTAAGAAATACTTAAACCTCTAAATCCACTTTGGCTGCAGGCCACTTTGAGAGATTTAACACAGAAAATGGCATCGTGAATATTGCTTTCAGCTGGGAATGGCGTTCAGTTTCCCTGATTCTTTACCTTGTGTGTTCTGGAAGAAACGGTAAATGATGAGAAGGCCCCATATGACAAAATTTGTAGGTGGTAATCTTTACTCAAACTTTACAGCAGGTGTAGAATGATTAAACACGGCTGTAGGACGGAGAGCTGGGATGTGGGATGGGAGAGGAATTTGCCCTAAACCCCTGTTGTCATATTCTGGATAAAAAAGTACTGTGAATGTGTTGTACTGATCTGTAGCAAGCGCTTAAATTGCCTCGTGTGCTTTATTTTTCATTGTTAGGATGAGGGAACTGCTAATCTGCATGGGATATTTTTGCCCCAATTAAGTTTATGGATTGCACTGGATAGGGTTTGATTTACTTGCTGAATTAAGCATCGATTTATATGTAAAACTGCGCTTGTAAGTGGGGCTGGGGGACATTTTAGTGACTCATGTCGATCGCTTGCTGGTTTTTTATATTTTGCTAAAACCTTTTGGCACAGCTGTAATTTCCTACTTCCTTACTACTGAGTGGACAACAGCAAGCACTTAAACACGGAGCTCTAATAATCTCTCCAATACATACAAGGAAAGCCCCAAGAGCAGAGCAATCAGAGCTGCCAGCTGCTAATTAAAAGTCAGCATGAGTGCATTTTAGCCCTCAAACGAGGTGCAGCATGCAACAGTGCAAACCAAAACTCGTGTCAGAAAACAACGGAGGCGGTTTCAAAGGCAGCAATATCTGCTGCCTGCAGCACCCACTGGCTTTCCTCTCCCCTCCCACCTCTTCCTGCATGAGCATCCTGCATGAGCAACACCAGGTCAAGGGAGAAGGTGTTGTCCTGGCGGTTACGGATGCTCCTCGTGCCCAGTCTGGAGCCTGTAACGATAAGCCGGCAGTGGGATGCTACTGAGCACGGGGAGACTTGGAGACTGATTCATCCTCCATTAAATCACGAAGCAACCCCTTTTGCTAGAGACCCATGTCAGTGCTGGACATGGAGGAGGGACCTGGCGGTTCCTGGTTTGGCCCTGCCACCCCGCTCCCGGCTCTGGGGACACAGGGACGTGTGGGGACATAAGGACTCACAACCAGGCAGACCCAGGAGCACCCTTGAGCCTCTGCTATGCCCAGAAGGTAGTGTATCTCTTGTTATATACCAAACCACCCCAGTTTTGCTCAGGGTTTCTCTCTTCTCCTCCCCTTTTTAAGAAAGTGCCCTAAAATCTTTGAGGGTCCTGTGGTTTTTGTTGTAAAAACCAGCTCTGAAGGTAGCACCAGGTCTTCAAACCCAGGTCCTGCCCTCGCAGGCGGCCGCATCGCCTTGTGTCCTTGCGGCGTGCAGATGCATTTTGGCTGCTGCCGGGGCGGCCTGTGCGCTGGGCTTCTCCCTTTGGCCGGCGAGTGCGAGGCCTCGCTGCTCCTGTTCTTTGGGCTCATTTTCAGCTTGTGTATGTAAACTATGTGGATATCCCAAGAAAAACATAGGACGAGGGAAAAAGAGGAATAAATTTAAAATGACAGGAACAAAGCTTTACCAGAAGAGTTGGGCTCATATTTCTTTTGATGACTTTTCAGTATGTGTACTATGTCTTTCATTGCAGCTACTGGGTTTTGGGGTTTTTTTTTTTTGGTGAAACACACCCCCACGCACACACAAAGGGCTATTTTTACTATTCATGCTTTAAAGGTTTGCTTGTAAAGTATTGTTTTTGGAATGGAGACCAACAAAATGAAAAAGCTACCGTTTTATTGTTGTTGCAATAATTCAACTCAGCAGTCCCTTCCCAGTTTCTGGCCGTTCCCGCTACATGGGGATGGTCTGTTTGTTGAGGGTCGCTGTCTGTCGAGAAGGACCAGTGCTGGGAATGTGTGAGTCCGTCAGGGAGACAGGCACAAAGTATTTTCTTTGGATATGACAAGTACCGTGAGGAGCAGAAAAGCAGTTGTCTCTTGAGCAATCTTCCAAATGAAAGTAAGATGGAATGCAAACCTGTAGAGCAGGTGATGAGAGAGATATCCCTTCTAGCTACCCGGGTGATGCGAGATGAGCAGGTTGGGGTTTTGTTTGTGTAGTTTAAATAAAGACAGCTTTGGTAGGACACGTGTAGACTCTCTCAGACACTGTGGTTTTGCAAAGAATTTGGCTTCTCTTGCCCATTAAGTCACTTAGGCTGCACATTGTTTGGATGGAATTGAATCAGCTGGGTTGCAGTGGACAAAGTAGCCGTAATTAAATTAAAACCAGGAATAAAAAACTTTACATGCAAAATCCAGAACTTGAGAAAACAAGTTTGAGGACAAACACCTCCTCAAAAGAAAAAGCTCAACTTCTGCATGTGCCCGGTTTCTTATCCTGATTTCATATCCATTTTCCTCCTGTTTTATCTCCAGCATGAGGAACGATGTCTCCAAACAGTTAGTTGGAGCACGTTGCAGAGTGCGTAGTCTCTGAACAGTAGCAGAGCTAAGAGCACTTTTCTGGATGTTCGTGTTCCTCGGTGAGACTTTGTTGTATACATGGATGCTTGGCCAGGCCTTACCCAGTTACCTCTTTTTTTTCTTTTTCCACATGACTTATACTGTGTACTCCCTGTGTACTGCAAATAAGGCTTAGAGAAAGTCAAGGGAGTCACACATCTGGCTCACAGGGGCTATTCTGTTGCATTTCTGCTGATGGTAAATGAAAACAAAATGTGAGGTTGAGTAACACATCTTGTTTTGTATTTTTTTTACATGTGTTTGGGATGAGCTGAAGTTGGCATCCTAGCTTGTACACCAGAAGAGTTTTCAGTGTGAGCTATGCTGGTGTAGAGTGCTTTGGACTTTAAGACTATTTCTACCTCTTCCATCTATCTGTCATCAGTCTCACCAGCATTAAAGTCTTGGCTGCCATACAGGAATCCAGACTTTGCAAGCTTGCAGATATTTTCTCAAATGCCTGTAATCAGGATTTATATGGGCACTTCATCCCGGCAAACTGGAAACTGTTAAATATTAAGGCAGCCTGGTGTGCTCCAAAAGCCTTTTTAATCCTAGTGGTCCCCGTTTGTGTAGGTTACCGGTCACAGTCTCTCTCTGCTCTGGTGCAAAAAGGGCCGTTCTGGGTTTTCTTTGTATCTTGTTGTGGAAGGGTTTTGCTTAATCAGTATCGTGACGAAGAACTTGACCTTGCTGGGGAATTGCAGAGGCAGTCTCTTGATGATTCCTTAGAGATCTTTTGGCAGGAAGTTTGTACAGTTTTCCTTAATCTGTTGCTTGAATCCTAATGAGTTAAACAGTCTTTTTGGTTGTTTTTTCCCCTTTGTGCAGATGCAGTGGCAGAACGTGGAACATGTTGGTGACCAGAGTCCTTATGTCACCTCAGTGATTCTTCACATTAAACAGAACGTCCCCATCATCCGCGACAATCTGGCCTCCACAAGAAAGTATTTCACTCAGTTCTGTATAAAATTTGCAAAGTAAGTTACCAACGTGGCACAGAGTTTCTCGGGGTCTTTGGTTCTCACTCGTCGGTTTGTACGTGATTTGCCTTTAGTGTGCAGTGTCAGCGGTGCTCGGTCTCTGGGTGAAGACCCTCTCCGTCCAGGGAGGGGAGCACAGAGGGAGGTGGAGTAGGGCAGCAAACACCAGCAGCTGCTGGCAAGATTAAAAGCTAC